TAGTTTTAGAATATTTTAAATCCTAATGTTAATATTTCTTGCGTCACAGCCATGATATGTCAACACCATCTTCCAATTTCTGAGGAAATTCTTTGAAATATTTGGATAATTGTATTCTCCTGAAGCAGGCTCCATTAGCATCTAGCATCAACAGAAACAAATAAAATGGCTACTACATGAACTCCATTGGTTTTGTGAAAGAAATGCCAAATTTCTCAACACCGTCAGATGTCACCGCCATAAGATTTTGTGTTCCAGTGATATATCAAAATACTTCAATGTGACTCTTGAATAAAAGCTTTATAATCAATAACACACTCACTGTTTGTTTTAATACAGTAATTGACTGATTCAGTGTATTTGATAGTTAAAGCTGATATTACACAGTCCAAGCTAAAAAAGCACATCTTGTTAAAAAAGAGAAAAGTTGGGAGGTTGTATCAAAGCATAGCTCAGTACATATAAGACACATAAATGTAGTTTCATTTTGCAGTTTTGTCCCACGTCTCAAGAATGACTGAAATCTGTAAAGAACGCAAAAGTCAGAATTACCCTGTTTTGTATCCCACATGAGCCACTGATTTATCAGAATAACACAGACTCAGCTCCGTGTGTGTTTACATGCAATACAGCCAAACGAGCCAATCAAGAGACAGACGCACACTCTCAGGCAAAGCAGGCTTTATTGAAGACGGTATCGAGTCCTTCTGGAGGACAGCTGTACACCGCAGACTCTCTGGGGTCTGTCCTCATCTATTTGGACGCCTCCTTCCTGGCGATGGTCTTCATCCCCTTCTTGTTGTGCTTCTTGGCAAAGCGCATGTTCCTCAGGAACTTAGGGTCCACCTGAAACACAACGCATGCATGAGAAAACACACTCACGACACCACTGCACTAAACACGACAGGGCTTCAGCAGCATCTCTGCGTGTGGGCGGAGCCTCTGCTGACGGACCAATAGCAGGTGCACGTCAAACTCGATTTCAACTTCTGGAGCAGACAATTAAATTATTAAAAAGTTCATATAAAATGTTTGTATATGACCATTTTGATTTGAGCGCTGATTATATCCAAGTAAACAGAGGGCATATTATCCAGGGTAATATGGCATTATCCTCCCTTCAGTCAACTGTTCGCGTCCTTCATCTCACTCTCCTACTTCCAAACAGACTCACTTTTCGCACCGTAGCACGCGCTACTGCCACCTCATCACATCTCCGCAGCAGCGAGATTTCGCGCACTTCCGTCATGAATGAACCATGTCATCTTAATCCTCTTCATCCCACGTGGGTTCTCTGACTTTCCCAAACGCTGTGTCATGTGTATGCCGCACAAGAGGAAGCCGGTTTACAGCGCGTTTGAACAGGTTTTCTGAACAGCTAGCAGCTCGGCAAACACTGAACGACGATCACGGGCCCAGCAGCATCTCTGCGTGTGGGCGGAGCCTCTGCTGACGGACCAATAGCAGGTGCATGTCAAACTCGATTTCAACTTCTGGAGCAGACAATTAAATTATTAAAAAGTTCATATAAAATATGTTTGTATATGACCATTTTGATTTGAGCGCTGATTATATCCAAGTAAACAGCAATTTAGCTTAGCCTTTACATTTTCACCCATCGATATTAGAGAAAACTCGGTGTCAAGAACCATCAAGCATTATCGTTATAAGAAGTACGATACACAATAATAACAGGGTTTAAAATTCCATACGCTTCCAGACTCGAACCATATTTCACAAATGGTTCATACAGCTTTATATTCGGTAATATATATATATATATATATATATATATATATACAGTGGGTATGCTCACGCATTACATTTTCTAGTTTTATAGACTATAACCCATTTCCTTTGTGCGTCACGGTCATCTTACTATGAAGAAAACGAGAGCATGGATGCACATAGATTAACAGAGATCTATTTGCTCAAAATTTGGCTTTCCGTAAGAGTAGTACCTCTAATATCAAGAGCTTAAGTCCAGTTTAACACATCCTCTGTAGCGGCAGAGAAACCATGACATGAAATGAGCTGACGGCACTGTAAAACACTATAAGTGCTCAAATGTGGCTTTTCTTAGTGCAGTACATCATATTTGAATGCCTTCGGTCTGCTTTAACGCATAGCCTACTGTGTGGCAGTCAAGAAACCACCGTGAAATGAGCTGATGGTGCAACAGATGGATCAGTGTGCATCGTCCTGTGTGTTAAGTTTAATGGTTTCTCGTGCGCACACTAAAGTCTGCATATTTTTTATTTCTGCAAAGGTGCTTTTAGAGGCTCTGTAATACAGTGCTAAGAATATCCTGAGGAAAAAACCTGCATAATGAAAAAGTGCATTCATTCAGTCGTGTCTGACGATCACTGCACAGCTGCAAATTTTTTTAAAATTAAATTCATAATTTTCTATTATTGAAAACTAAACCAAAAGTCTGTAAATGCACATATTTTTCCATACTCTGCTTTCTTTTTCATACTTTTCCAGACCCGGCCTCTTCATCTCCTGGCAGGACGCTCTTAATTAAGGGTACGTTCACACGACAATGTGCTGAAAACACAACAGTTGTTCGTGTGTGTGTGTGTTTTAACGTTATCATAACGAGTTCATAAGGATCTGTGAACACTACTCGCAGTGCTGCATTACTGGTGCCAGGCCAGTAGCTGCTGTCACCGTGTAAAGAAACACTACACGCGTTCCTCTAGCCTGAACATGCATGTTTTCCTCATTTATACAGACAACTTGCATTTTCAAATGGCATCGTCACGTAAACGAAGAGCCAAAACGCATGAGAAGTTCACCATTAGCAGATGATAATGTGTGAAGAAATAGTTTTTCTTGATTAGAAAGAGTTGATGCTTTAACAGTAGCCCCGGCTGGTCAGGTGTGATAACATGTGCCTTCTCTCCTCACCGTGTGTTCATTCACGATCGTTCAGATCAGCGGTCTACAGTGTCTGATCACGCTGCCTCCACACTGCATTAGGCCGTGTACTTTCATCTGAGCGCAGACCCGAGAGCTAGGGATGGGCGATACCCCTTATTTTGTTTCCGATACGATACCAATATTTTTCAAGGCGGTATCGTCGATATCGATTCGATACTTCTGCACTAAACTTTTCAATTATGAAATGTATTAAATTACTAAGAGTGAAATGGGTAATGAAAACCACTTAACTTTGTTTAAAACGCATTTTAACCCGTTTAATCCCACATTTTTCCCAGACATGAAAATATCCAAATGATGTGTCATTAGTAACCTTTTGAAATATTTTTTTTTTTTTTTTGGAAAAGTGTGAAAAATTGCATTTTATGGTCAGTCACAATTGTAACCGGTGGGATAACGTGTGTACTGAATTAACATATTTCTGCAGTCTTAAAAATAGTTATATATCTTAGCCCGGCTATTTTAAACTGTTTGATCACATTCTAGGGTTACTATTACGCATAAAAACCTTATACAGCATTGACAGGAATACTGAGATCAAATACAACCATCAACACATTTCAAAAGTGTTACTTTTTTGTAACTTATATCATCACATTTTTATATGAGTGCTACTAGTATTACAACATTAACATTCTAACTTATTTGTAACATTTGAACTTTTGATTTAGTGCAATATTTTGTACTGCCAGTGACCGGCTGTTGCATGCATTAAATGCAACCTTTTTATTCTGACGGTGTATGATTTCTGTTAACATTACAGAATACAACATGATCAATATTATCTTTCAACGTTAAATTTAAATAACTGTAATTGCACAAACTATGTAGGCTACCATTTCAATTTGTTTATGGTGAAATAACTCCGTTATCTGTCCTCTGATAAGCATTGTTCAGGGCTGCCGTTCCCAAAAGCTTTAATGCTTTATGATACTTTGGGAACCGCAGCCCTGTCTGAAAGCACTGAGCAGTGAGTGAGCGCACTCTGTGATGGATCGGTTCAGATGAACAGGAACATAGTCCTATCCTACACACTTACTCGCTAACAAAGGCTATTCGTCCAATTCAATGCATTTGTACGCATTATTATTATTTTTGTTAAATAAACAAAACCACTGGTAAATAAAACACACCTTAGTATCGATATTTTTTGTTTGAGTAACGGTACTTTCAATACTCACGTCAGTATCGATACTTCGGATCGATACGCCCATCCCTACAGCCGAGACACTAAGGTGCTGATCACAGGTGGTGCGAACACGTGCTGTGCTGTTCAGCTGAGCAGCTATGAGGTGTGATTTGTGACAGATCGAAGGCTTAGCAGGAGAAGGAGAAGTCTACCCTTCCGTCGCCGTCAGTCCGTGTCGATTTTTGGCGACGTCACGGTTGGAACCAATCATAGGCGGCGACGTGACGGCGGCGTATGTAAGAAATTTATAAAAAATGGTACGTGCACCAAGTACGTCTGAACTAGGTACGTCGCCTTACATGACGCCTGATGCATACGTCGTCTCAATGTACGTCGCCTTAAATATATCTACTACTGCAAACTTTAAATTTAGTTTGTTATAGGCTATTGCTTTTAGTTATTTCCTAACAAGTGTTAATAGTTAATAATAATTATACGTTAATTTCATTTTAGATAACTTATTTTTTGGCTGTTACATTGGTGTAGTACCGCAAACTAAACGTTCTTACTATTAAAGGTGTTCTTTTTTACTTGGACAATGTAGTCAACATTAAATGATGTGGAGTGCACATTATTCTAAGGAAACATACTTTCATGATGTTCAAAATGTTCTACAGCCTATAACATTTTGTTGCAACAGTCTCAGATGTTTTATATATATATATATATTATTGAAGCCTTTGAGTTCAAAGGTACATTTCATTAAATATTTAATAATATTTAGGCCACGTACTATGAATTGTGACCAATAAATGTAAAAAAAATAAAATAAAAAAAACAGAGTAAATATAACAAGATGGTTAGTGGGGGTAGAATTAGAAAGCTGACTGTCACTCAAATATATTTTTTACTTTGATTAAAACAGTTGCTGGATATAGTATGTAATTCATCATCTAAAAGTGGCTTCAAAAGATTGTGGTGATTTAATTACAAGCACAACAATTATGCTGTGGAGCATTAAGATCATCTCTGGTGATAGCACTTAAGGTTGGATGAAATTTATCAAGATATATGGACAGTTTCAAATTACACTTGTACAAAGCTAAAAAGCTTCTGAAATGCTGTCAAACTTTATTAAATTATTGATCACTGAGAACAAAAAAGATTAAAAATGTTGATTAGCTCTAGTTTTCAAAATATGGTATTGGGCCAGTATACACAACCCTTTACTTGTGAATAGCAGATGATAAGTGC